CTGTGTACTTTTCATTGTTTACATACGATGCAAACGACACAACGTTTGGCACATCATAATCGCCATCATTGCCGTATTTATCATCTTTGTTTTGTCAGAAATGTGGGGAATGTATGTACGCGTAAATATGCAAATTTCATAAGCTTCAATTTTCGAAATTCATATTGAAGTTGTTTATTAGAATTTTTTGTATTCACAGTGTCAATGGTATTGATTCCTCCATGTTTGCTAATAAAGAATAAGAATTAGAATAATTTTTTGTAAAAAAAATAGAATCATTTTAATTCTTGAGCTTCATGCGTTCATTAAAATATAAATAAGAAAATCATTTCACTCATTTAACTTTCTCATGCGTTTACTTACTAGTAAGAAAATTGAAAAGTGTAAGTTTTCTCTTGAAAAACGTAATTAAAATCTAAAATTCAAGAATCATCTAGATACAGATACTAGTTGAACCAATCCCATTTCCTTCTCATATTTCTAAATTCTTTCATTCTTCATTTTCCAATTTCTAATAAGTAAACATGTCCATATGTTCGCTAAATACAAAATTACTCCGTAATCAAAATCTGGCACCTTTGATTCCGATTACGAATTGATAAATGCCATAAGAGCATTCACCTTCGTACTCAATTATTATCTTTAAATGCTCATCCAATATCATTTATATTAAAAAAAAAAAAATCTAAAACAGAAATAGCATGAAATCGACATATGCTTGTGAACACAGACTCCCAACGTGTGATCGCCGGTCGCATTGAGTAAGTTTAGTTGCCCCCAATGTTTAAAAATTATAGTTAAGATTATGATTAAGTGCCTTAATTAAATTAAAATGAAGTCTTTGATTCAAATTATGATAACCATATGCTACCAAATGGAACAAATTTGAAAACATTGCCATACATAATGCATGGTTTACCTATCCATTAACCCATTAATTTTTTCCTTTTTATATCAAAAGGGTTACCTAATATTCTCATTGTTATATGCTTGATGCAGATACTCGATTAGGAACAAAAGATATGCCAAACTTTTGTTAATATTAATGCCCAACATTCATATTATTATAAGATTAATGTTTGGAACTTGCTCGAATCTAATAATTAAATACTATCGTGTAATTAACGTTGCTTTAACATCCAATATTTTGGACTTATTAACAAATTCTATAATTTGACGGTATTCTTCCTTAAGTATAAGTCAAATATTTCAAGTTCGACTTATGTGGATGACGGACATATAATATTTGTATTGAGTTGTATACCGTATTGTAACTGACTCATTGTGTTGCTTAGTACAATATGTCTATACAAAATTCAACATATAGTTTTCACTGTCCCATTGTTTTGCTTTGTGCAATTCTCCTCTCCTTAATCTAAAGTTCAAGAAATATACATGTGAAGATCTTTTGATGATCATCTAAATGTTTGGTATGAGTCCTTTTTGTGCTCACTAAGTGTTTGATGTAACGCATACTAGGCATATTTCAACTGGTTGTGTCGATAACACTCGACATATACTTTCGATATCACTCTTCATATTGCTTCGACATATGTTGATATTTGTTAATAAATGTACAACATGGTTTGGTTGACGACAAAGACTACCAAGTGTTTAAAGAATTGCCTCAGTGAATAAACTGATTTTTTTTTTACATACTTCTACATAAAAACCTTGAACCTTTTAACACTGAAACTCCAAAGGTTCAAATCCTGAATCAACCATTGTCCTTAATCATGTCTCATCTCCTTATTATTTCTCATGTTTTTGATACTTCTTTTATTTTTATTTATTAACAAACGATACTATCTACAGTATGGAGGATGAGGTGAACTTAGCCTCACAATGGGCTAGCAATAATGTGGTTCAAATTTGCTTTTGGAGAGAATCGAACTTAAGACCTCTCACTTACATGTGAAAAGGAATACCACTAGACTGTAGTACTAAGCGGCTTATTTTTTATATATTTAGAACAATGTTATTGTAATACTGCTTATACATAATAAATAAGGTAAGATATTATTTTTTTTTTAGTACAACGATATATTTTATACTAAGGGGAGGGGAAGTTCGACTAAATCACACAATGAACAATCTAATTTGATATCGAATTTACCATCCAAGAGATATTGTAAAATAAATAATAAATATATTTGATGGGTCCAATAATCAACCAAGGACGTGCCGAGGTGGTGTGGTCCATGTTTCTGGTGAATTCTGAATACAATTAAACTTGTTTTTTTTTTGGTCAAAAGCACCAATTAAACTTGTTTGGTCATTAAATATTGTAGGCATATGGTATGGTTTCATGTGTTTTTGACAGGACCACCCTCCAAAACTCCAAAAAAATTGTTTGGATGCTTGCACCCCAACAACTTTGGTCTCACAAGACAACAACACAGCTCCCTATCTAATTACTATTTTGAGGCAGGCTCTAGTAAGAGGTTATCTTACCTACCTTCCTAGCTTTACCCAAATTGTGAAAATTGAAAATATATACAGACTTCCAAAGTTCCTAAAACCATTCAAACTACATTTTGGATTATATTTCTCTTGCTTAGAGGTTAGAGCAGAAATATTATATCAAATTAATCATGTTTAAGGAATATTTATGTATGAAATGCTTTCTACTATGTGTATAATATTTGGCTGGTTTGGTATTGACGTGCTTTAAAAAAATGTATTTGATGTGCTGTAGAAATAAGCAGTTAGGTGTTTGGTAGATTTGTAAAAATTCTTTGAGTCCAAAAAACAGCGTCAAAATGTTTTGTAAACTTTTATATAAAAGCGTTGTGAATCTCAGGGTAGCTGAGTGGTGGCGGAAAGCTTATACATTGTTTTCAAAAATGATGGTTTGGTGCTTCCGTTTAAATGGAAAATTCATATGAAAGCTCAAACATTCAACACGATGAAGATCAGAACTTGGAGGAAGGAGAAAGGGAGGGCAAGATGGCCATTTTGAAAAATTTATTTAACTGGCACTGTTCACTCATGTTAAAAAAATAAAAATAAAAAAGTAGATTTTTCAAAGTTGTTATTTGCTGCTTCCGCTTTTTGGCTTCGAATGATCCCTAATTTTGAAAAAAAAAAAAGGTTTGTCTAGTGTTCCACCATCCTTTCAACTCAAATTTGAATTTATCTTCCCATAATTTAAATGAACTTAGTGTGATTATCTTATTGTTTAGACTTTAGATCAATTAGAAAATTATAAAAACAAAACAAACAATACCAAATACACTTCTAGAAAGATCATAAGTGCAAATAAGCAAAATAAAGTGTGAAGGGGTGCAATTTGCTCATTAATTTGAGAGGGGATGAGCATTACCATTACATTTTGTTGTTGAATGGTTATGATTCAATTTCTATGTAAAGAAATCTTGAATTAAAAGACATCTAACGGTAATTAATAGGATGAAATACTTACTATGTGATCAGCAAGAAAGAAATGACTTTGCGCAACCTGTTTAATTACGTCTCTTAATTCTCCTTTGATTTATTTACGCAATGTTAAATACATGGGGAAAAAAAAACAATGTGCATAAATCACTTCTCTAGAAAAAATACGCCCTTGTAATAAACATTTTTTATTTTCTAAAAGTGCTTCTAAACATTCTACAAACATTGTTTTTAATCTCAACAAACACACCTCCAAAGAGGCATATTTTGTTTTTGTTTCATCAAAGACTTGATAGGAACTATGAGCTAATGCTCTTGTTTGAGTTTTGATTTCCTTTCGTAACCCTAACCAAAATCAAAAGAGTAAATTATTTAATTACAAGATACAAATTGCCAAAGTTCTTGGAAATAGTCAAAGTAATTTCAGATATTTCTTTCTCTTACTGTGTACATCGATATTGCAATATCATAACGTGTTGATGTGGTATTACAAATCTACAAAATTACACGCACAACCACTAATTTACTAAAAACTTGTTTGGTACCTTCATGTTTTGAAAATGAAAATTATAAATAAAAAACTGAACAAAAAATAAGGACAAAAACTAAAAACGAAAGTGGCTATCAAACGAGGAGTAGTGACTTGCGAGCTGTGTGAACTGAGAAATTCAAATTTGCATCCTTAGAGAAAAATACAAATAAATAAAATACAGATGTCCATCCAGAAAATTTAAAGGCGTCAACGTGCTTGAAAAAAAAAAAAAAAAAAAATACAAAAAGGACTGGAATATATTCAAACGTCGTGTGCGGGTGGAGGCACTGTTGGTCCACTCGTTGTGGTAAAATTAAATTTAAACAAAGAAAACCATTCATTTTTTTTCTCACAAATATTTTTTTTAAATGATAATTTCTCTTTGGAGCAAAACTAAATTTAAACAGTCGCTTATTATTATAGTTTAGTGGTTTTTTTCTTTTTTTGCAAGTGAGAAGTCTTTGATTCTTATTAAACACGAATTTGAACCAGCAAGCTTATTGTAAAGATTAGTTCATTTTCATTTTATTAGTGCATATAATATCATATATTAAAAAAATAATTCTTGAATTAATAATCTAAAAGAAAACCACTCACTTTTTTTTAATTTTTTTTTCCGAAAATGATAATTTAAGAAATCATGATTAAGTTTGAACACAGTATAATAAAAAAAATTGACTGCAATACTTATAATAATAAGTTTAATATGAGTTGAATTGAAAAGTCTTAATTTATTAGTAAAGTTCACCATTAATTGGTATTATTAGGTGATTTTTAAAATTATTTTACTGAAAACACTTTTCATTATGTTAATACACTTTCTAAACGAGTCAGTAAAGTCAGACAAACAGGGATCAAATCTTTTACTTAGAAAAAAAACACAAGAAACAAAAACAAGATAAAATAAAAACAAGAAAAACAAAAGCACATTTCTTGAGTGATTCTGAAGCATAGAGACAACGGAGGCCATCGATGGCCAGCACCGATACGAGCAAGGCACTCCCTTTTTCTTCAATTTTACCTATCCGGGTAATCCGCGTGTGTGTTGCTTCTGGGCTCGCTTTTGGATTCTCTTTTTGTTTTTGTTGTTGTTTTTTCTTTTGATCGTTGATTGGGTTTTTGGAGGGGAATGGGGATTTTTTGTTTTCATTCTTTTTATCGTGCCTGGATTTATTTGCACTGCTATTTTAGATGAAGGGAAAGTTAGTTTTTGGAAACAACCCAGTTTTTGGTTTGAAATTTGGGTATCTGGGTTGAGATTTTTGTTTGAATTTCTCTGCTCTCTCTCTCTCTCTAAGGTAGATATTGGGAAGCTTAATTTGAACTTTTGTTGGGTTTCTGGTTGCAATTGTGAATCGGAGTATGCTTTTTGTGCTACTGTTATGGTGTCTATTATTATTTTTTTTTTTTCCTGATTGATTGAGAAAGCTGGTTGCTTTTTAATGTCTTCTGTGTAAATTTTTGAACTTATTGTTTTTAGTGCAAATGGGGAATGTGGGTTTTAGTCAAAGCATAGTTCTGAATTGATCTGGGATTGTTCTTATCTTGCTGGATATCATATAAATCTGAAATTGCCTATGTGATGATCGAAAAGTTGGAAAAGGAAAATCCATATGTTCCTTGTTTCATCTCTTTTGGAGTTGAAATTCTTTGCGTATTTTAGTTGAAAATATTTGCATGATGCATGTTTTCTTCCTCAATCTCCATAATTTCCTTGCTTCGTATTCTTATGAACTCTGTTATTGCTACCATAATATTTGTGCAGTAATAAATTTTGGATATTGATTTGTAAACTAAGGTTTGAAAAAAGCATAGTGATGTTGTAGTTGTGAGAATTCATGGTTTACCAATAGTTTCAAGAGGGCCTTTACTGTGCCTCGGTGGTATGGATGTCCACCAATCTTGGAATACTCACCGGTAAAACAAATTCCAAATTTTATCCCAATAAGCGATTTGGTGGGATTATAAGAGCTCGAAGAGCGTTTTTGAAGCTACTGTGGAAAAGTGGAGATATTTATAGGTGTAGCCTTGTAATGTCGACTATAGGAGATTGAGAATCTCCTGCTGCCAAGCAAGAATCTTTTCCAAGTTCTTTTGATATGGCAAAGCAACTGAAGTCTAATCTGACCTGCCTATACCTCATAAGCTTTCTAAGCGAATTGAGCTGAACAACTGTTTACATTTAATGAAAACTTTCCTTCTTGTTATTTGTCTTTTGTCTGGACTTTGGACTCGAGTTGAATAGTACACTCTTTAGAAAGTATTTCATCCATAGCATGTGATATAGTTATATATAACTCTTTGTTCAACTTGTTTTGACAGAGGTAAGCATGTGTATGGAGAATTGAGAGCGGAATAGAGGGCAAGTAGAATCCTCCTGTCTTATGAGCCAGAATTTTGTTCTATTTGAATCACTCGTGGCTCCTGGGGGAATTTTATAAGAAGATTTTTAAAGATTTGAAACAGTCCTGCTCCCGGGGACACTTTGCGAGGGTGTTCTTGAGTTGGCAGATTATGACATGGCAATCGCAAAGTCAGAGACAGGTAGTAATAGTATGATTAGTAAGACTACCCCTGGTTTGGGTGGAAAGCATGGTCTTTATTCAACCAATGGTGTGCATGAGTTGCTTGAGTGCCCTGTCTGCACGAATTTGATGTACCCTCCTATTCATCAGGTACATTTGCAGTTAGGACATATGTTTCACCTGAATCTTCTGTTTCTAAATTGATCCTACAATTATCACAAAATCATGCAGGCTATAATCTTTGAAAATTTATTAGCCTTGCCTTTGTGCTTGCTATGGCAGAACATTCAGTGCTTGCAATCGTACTTGAAAGTTTATTAGTCTTTTCCTTTTCTCCTTTTGAATTTCTGGGATTGACAATTGGGACTACGCCTGGACTCATGATCTTCCTATATTATCTTAGTATAGTTCTCATAATAGTTCTGTGTTGCTCTGCTTTAATTTATTCTGAATATAAATGTATGAAACTCTCAAGCCCTCCCCCTTTCTCGTTTTAAATGCGAAAAATAAGATTGTTATGCCTTTGTATATGTATTATGTTGTGAGTCTTGTGACCCCCTTGTTTTAGTTGTTATTGCCAACATGATTTAGTTAATTATATGTATTATTGTTCATGCTATCCACAGGCTACCGCACTACAGTTGATCATTTAGTTTTATTACTCTTAATTTTCGGGTTTGCTGAAGACTAAATTGCAATGGCTGTGTTCCTTTTATTCAAGATAAAATTATTCACTTATTGACTTTTGGGGTTCAGACTTCCTTGAACCCCTTGAAGTGATCAATCCCTCACTTTCTTGACTCTAATTTTACCCTCTTCTTGTAATTGAACACGGGGTATTGTCCTGTCAATATGGAATTACATGTTCTTTAGGACTCAGTTCTTTTGTTTTAAAATTCTTGTTTTGCAGTGTCCTAATGGCCACACAGTATGTTCTGACTGCAAGATAAGGGTGCACAATTGTTGCCCCACTTGCCGCTATGAGCTTGGCGATATAAGGTGTTTGGCTTTGGAGAAAGTTGCTGAATCATTGGAACTTCCATGCAGATACCAGAGTTTAGGATGTCATGATATTTTTCCTTACTACAGCAAGCTCAAACATGAACAACACTGTCGATTTCGTCTATATAATTGCCCTTATGCTGGATCTGAGTGCTCTATTACAGGTGACATCCCTACTCTCGTTGCTCATCTTAAAGAGGATCACAAGGTTGACATGCATGATGGGTGCACCTTCAACCATAGATATGTTAAAGCAAACCCAAATGAAGTTGAAAATGCAACTTGGATGCTTACCGTAAGTTTTTTAATTTTAATATTCTAAAGTGTTACAAAAACTATAAATTTGTGTAGTTAAACCCTGTACCTTTTTTAATTTTTCATTTTTGGTGCGTGTACAATGTTTAGTAGCAATATTCATATTGATTCTGCTTGGAAAATTTAATTTTTTAATGTGTACTACTGACCGGCATATTGAATTATGTTTTCTCCCGCAGGTCTTCAATTGTTTCGGAAGACAATTCTGTTTGCACTTTGAGGCTTTCCAGTTAGGAATGGCTCCAGTCTACATGGCCTTTTTACGATTCATGGGTGATGATATTGAGGCTAAGAAATTCGGCTATAGTTTGGAAGTTGGTGCTAATGGCCGTAAGCTAATATGGCAGGGTATCCCTAGGAGTATCCGCGACAGTCATAGAAAAGTCCGTGACAGCCAGGATGGACTCATTATTCAGAGGAATCTGGCTCTCTATTTCTCAGGTGGGGATAGGCAAGAACTAAAGTTGAGGATTACTGGCCGTATATGGAAAGAAGAATGAGATCTGGATAGATGATTGGTGTTTAGGTGTACAGTTAAAAGCTGAGACTGTCTAGGGTAGCTCCATGTTGAAGCGTCAATGTGTTTCGCTTTGTTTTCTTCGTTGAACTTGAAGTTGAAGTGACTGAGCAGGAGGGTATTGTGAAAACTTACTTATCTGCTGACCGCTGCCTCGGTAAGATCAGAGCTGCAGCTTAGCGTCAGAAAACGGATATTTGAGTTATTTGATGGGTTTGAGTGTTTGTGTGTGCTTTGCCCTCAAAAGTGACACAAAGTCCTTGGCTTTATATATATCTAAATACACCTATTGCCATGTATGTTTCTGATGTAATGTGGCCATCAACACCATATGGTCTGAATTTATGAATCCATTCAAGAGATTTCTTCTTTTTCTCGGCCAGGTTGAATCAAGCTTCTGCAAAACTAGCATTGTTGGCAAATTAGTTGGGCATAAATGTTCTCATGGTCACCGGATGACCATGTGATGTGTGGTTATTTACCCTTTGATTTGATATCATAGGTGGAGAATAATTAGATGTGCTATTCGTGTAATCGTGTGTTAGTCTCAACCTTTGATATTAAATTCAAAGGTTAGTGGCGATGAATCTTTGGTCACTTGGTGAGCAAGAGAACATGATTTTTGTATTTTTGAACAAATGATATTATCTACACTAAAGTGGAAGGAGAGAATGAAACTCATTAATTATGATATTCCTTCAAAATAGAGCAGCAGCTGCTCCTTTGGGTTGGAGTACAGCATAACTCGGTCAATTCATACCAAAAAAATGTGGCAGGAACATGACATGATACATGGCAACCATGTGCTTTAAAAGAGGAATGTCCAAGCGACACATTTGTCAAGCAATAATTTGAGTCACCAATTTGTTCATGCCAATGTTTTATTATTGACTGATGTGATAATTTTTTGTTTTTGTGTGTAGATCAAGTCTCCGAGTAAGTTCAGATAAGGAAAAAAAACAAACAAATAAAGCACTGTCACATTAGTTGGTATCATGAAATCGGCATCTCAAGTATTGTGAAAATATGGACTGTATCTAGAATTCTGGAAGTGATAAACCACGAATAATTGCTGCTTTCACAGAAGAATTTCAGTAAGGGTTTATAACTCAAAGACTAACTCAGGAGTGATGAAAACAAGAGTTTTCTTATACTTTTTAGCAAATCAAAGTCACTGAGCAAGTGAGCTTGGCAGCATATATACTGTATCAATTGTATTAACAAAGCAAAGGTAACTTTGCGTACTTCAAGTGCTAAACTTCAATGACATAAGTACACTGTCATTTTAGCATTCTGTGTCATTGGTACAATACTGTGAAAAAAAAACTTACACATAACTTTTTATTATTAGCAAGAGACGTCACTATAGCAAAATACGCGAGATTGTAATGATTTGATTCACTTGATGGAAGTCTCAAATTTGCAGGAAACATTTTATCTGCTGTATGATTCTCTTGCTGAGACTGAGATGAGCAACGTCCAGACGTGGATGAGCACCATGCTTAACGATGAGGAGACATGTACGGACGTGTTTGATGACGTGGAGCACGGGCCCCCCAAGACCGACGTGTTGAACCGGGTGGAGAATGTGAAGAAGGTGACCAGCAATGCCGTCACGCTCGTTAATAGCGTTGCTGAGCAGACAAAGTCGAGCCTCCAACTCTGGCTTGTTGGATATTTAATATTATAATATAAAACTAACATATGGGCACACATAAAATGTGAGAGAAATTTTTTTATTTTTGTTTTTGAAATAGAAGGAGAGAGGAAGAGAGTGATAGAGAATGTGGGAGTGAGAATATTTTTTTTTATTTTATTTTTTGTAATTAGAGATATGTTATGATTACATGTAAGTGAGGTTTTGAAAAAAAAAAAAGAGCAAAATTTGATTATGTGAAATTACATTTCTGCCCCATATTTCTTATACATGTTTTGTTTTAATTAGAGAGTTAAACTGATAATTTCATAAGATTTTGGTTGACAATGAGTATTTTATTAATTAGTAGAGATTATAATATTTAATATTAGTTTGAATGAAAAAAATTAGTTCGTGAAGTGTTTCATGCAGAGAATGCAACACTTGCCGTGTAGTATTCAAAACATAATAGTTGTAACCTTTCCCTAATTTACTTATGGTTATGTCATACTAATTGGCTGTCACGGTTATAAAAGTGGTGCGAACCGCAAAGTATCTGTATAGAGTTGGTCATGCTGTTTAGAAAAAGGCACTTGGGTTCTATACAAACCCAATAACACTAAGCCATGAGAGAAGTAGTAAATAACATAATTAATTACTCTTGAGAAATCGGGTTTTCCCACTCTATTTCTTTCATTCTTCACTTGTCTTCCGAGTCGTGTCTTGAGAGTACGGAATATATAAAGTTCATCAGAGTCCGAAGATTGAAGTGCTTTGACTTTGGATTATAGATTGTTGAATCCTGGGAGATGGACACCTATCAAACTACAAGCACAAGAGTAGGGGCGAAATTCTGTCTTTAGGACATTGCATTTATGCAAGCCTCTGTCTCTAAGTTTGTTAGTATTTCTAACTTTCTATATATAATTGATGTTGTGAATTTCTTTATGATTATTATTATTGGAATTCTTGTGTTATTTTCATATTTTTTTATTGAGTGATGTTATTCCCACCTCAATGTCTTATCTTCCCACCCACCTTTTAATGAATTTTTTAATAACAAATTTGTCCATTTGCAAAAAGACTGATAAAGACATTAATTATCTTGTTTTGCTTAATTTTTTTTTTTTAAAGTTTGGGTGTGGGAGACGATTTGTCTACCTTAAACCCTAACTCATATTTTCATCTCCTTTCATTCAGAGAAAGTAACAAAATATCAACGGACTTAGAAGATGACCTCTTCATTGAACAGGTGGAAGTGACGCTTCTATGGAAGAAGTAGAAGATTATGTTTCTATTGAAAAGATAGAAGAGTAATTTGTGTGTAGATTATTTGAATTTGTCCATCGTATTTTTGAATTTGTTGTTGTCGAATTCTTTTAAATTTGGATACCTCTATCGTTTCCATTTGAATTTGCAGACCTTAGTGGTTTTCATTTAGATATTATTTGTTATATTTTTTAAGAGACAATTTTATAATTTCATATGTATGTATATATTAAAGGTTATTTTGAGAATAATAGTGGGTGGAGAAATAACATTTTAATTTTTTAACTTTTTAAGGTGTGTGAGAAAAAAAGATAATGAGGTGCGTCTAGTAGCTCTCTTTTTATTATTGCTCCAACACGGTTTTAGTAGTTTTTGACCGCTGGCGTTGGAGTTGTTGATTTAGTGAGTTAATTAATGAAGATTACTAGTGATTTAAGTCCCACTTTATCGTCAGTGGGAGCAACATAAATAGTTGGTTTGTGTTGCTTTTTGTACAGTTGGACTCCGTTTTCTTCTACTTTTGGGTTTCATTGCATGTTAATGTTGCTGTAATATATATCGGTCTAATTGGTGATTTGGTTTCCAGTTGCTCTGGTCGTAGTTTATTAGGGTCCATAAACAAAAAAGAAGAAATTAATCGGGGAAGAACTTTTTTTAGGGTTAATTTATAAATTAATACTACTCGAAAAATTATTGGAGAAAATAAATTATTATTTTTCTTTTTTTAACAAGATTTGATTTGATTTGATTTCAGGCTCCATTAAAATTGTTTTTTTTTCCCCTAAAATGAGGTTTCTTTCCCCTACCACATAAACCCTGCCACCCCCACCGCAGTACATGTACAACCACACATGCATGCAATCATGAATAATACCGAACGCACGAGACGACCCAGTTTCTCCTCTCTCTCATCTTCCTCTTTGCATTCCTCCCCCACCCAATCCCAACATTCGGATCGCCATCCTATGAAACGGATCAGCTCGCCAAGGATGCTCTTGGCGTCAGCCTAACCGGTGCCCAGCGTATGGCCGACTGCGTCTCCGGCATCCCCTGCCCAGCCGACCCGCGTGCAGTGGCCGCCCTTCACGACTACGTCGAGTCCTTTGGCACCGCTGCAGGCCGCATTCGCAACTCTCTTAAGCAGATGATCCTGCTCAGCTCCCCCAGTTCCCTTTCCCAGGCTCGAGATAAATAACGTGCTGAAGTGGAGAACCGGTGTGATTGACGACGCGAATACCTGTACGGAGGGATTTAAGGAGGCGGCGGAGGGTCCCCTGAAGACCGACGTGTCCATTAGGGTGGAGGATTATAAGAAGGTTATTCAAAATATGCTTGCACTTGTTCGTAAAGTTTCCGGAAAGGAGGCGCCGTGATCAAGCCTTATCTGGTGCCAGTAGTTTTTTTGTTCGTTATAGGAGAGAAACTTCTCAACCTGTGCCGACTCCCGACACTCTCTCTCACCAAACAATTGTTGGAAAGTCTAATTATTTAGCATTTTGGGTCAATACATTTGAGGATGGTTTCGTATTTTAAGCGTTAGGTTTTCTTGAGGGTTAAGGATTTGGATTCCGCACCTCCACCGGTTGCTTTTGGGCAAAGGAATGGGTTTCTTGTTTTGCCCTTCAACCTTAAAAAGGGGTTCCAACGATCCAAATCCAAGAGTGCAATTGGTGAGAATGCCAAGCCCACTCAAATGTCACAGCAATATAAGCTCAGTTTGTGCCAGCAGGCAAGACTTACGTGAGCATGACGTTAGTCACTTTTTAATTTTTTTCGCGTGCAATATATGCGTGTAATTAGGGTTAGCTCTCTATAAACAGGTTGTTTTGTTATTAGTTAATATAAGTAAGTTGCCCTATGTTTATAGTTGTCGTGACATTCTTTTGTAGTTAATATAAGTAAGTTACAATGTAGCCCTATGTTTTCAGTTACTAAAATTATACTCGTTTATAGTCAATTTTTTTCTTCAGTTTGTTAATTAGTTAGTTTGTTATTCATTTGTATGTTCGTTAGGCGCTTTGATATTTAAGATACTAATCTGGATACTAATCCAAATAGAGATAGAGAGAATATACAAGTAAGACATAGGTAAGTTATTGGGATAAAGATGTGCTATTAATTCTTAATCCATCTCCTTGGTGTGGCCGAGAGATTTAAGGCATCTTACCAAGCAAAAAATTTTCATTGTACATTTTTCTTCACAAGTGAACAATTGAAATTTAACTAACCATTCATATGAGGTCGAGAGATTTAAGACATCTTACCAAGGGGAAATTTTTTTGCGTACATTTTTCTTCACAAGTGAACAGTTGAGATTTAACTAACCATTCATATGTGAAAAAGAAATATAGGGGTGAACAAAGAGTTAAACTAAACATGGTATATACCAAAAATATATATGACAATATTTGGGAATTTCTTATATGTTCATTAATCTCCAAAGTGGATATATATAGGAGTTACA